ATCCTCACAATATTAGACAATATCATCTCACGTCTGGTGTCCCAATCCTCACAATATTAGACAATATCATCTCACATCTGATGTCCCAATCCTCACAATATTAGACAATATCATCTCACATCTGATGTCCCAATCCTCACAATATTAGACAATATCATCTCACATCTGATGTCCCAATCCTCACAATATTAGACAATATCATCTCACATCTGATGTCCCAATCCTCACAATATTAGACAATATCATCTCACATCTGATGTCCCAATCCTCACAATATTAGACAATATCATCTCACATCTGATGTCCCAATCCTCACAACATTAGACAATATCATCTCACATCTGATGTCCCAAGCCTCACAATTAATGACAGCAGCCTCAAAATAGAAAGTGAGCTGAGGTACATTGGTATTACTTTCGATAGAAGCCTATCCTTCGTGTATCATGTTGGAGCCAAATGGCCAAATGGCAACCCCCAAAAAAGCACTCCAAGCACTAAGGATCATGGCATACTTGTACGTAGAATAAAGAGCCATCAATAACAGATTAAAGGCATGTATATCTTATCCATGGGCGTAGAAGGCTAAAAGAAACCGTCATATGAACGTCTCAAGATTAGGTTTATTGGCTGTCACAAGGTTTAGTTAATGATACCAGTTCACAAAAGGCTGATTCACTTGACATCAAATGTCATTCCATTTCCCAGAAACATCATAATTATTATTTACTGTTGTAAACTCCAGCAAGAAATTATGGTTGGTCGTCCACTTCTGGATTTGGTTGTGCTCCAGAACTTTAGTTTGGCGTTTACATCCATTTCACAGATCCGGCTTATTTAAATGCAGACTGCTGGTTCCCCGCCTCTTAGGCGCATACACTTCGACTTAGAAGCAAACACTTCTAATTAGCCTTGTACAACATGATTGTCTATTGGGGGAAGGGGGGGGGGGGGCAGTAGGTCAAATTTTTTTCTTCTTCCTCGAAATTTGACCCTAGAACTCGTGTGAGAAATGTTCTATATCATGATTTTATTCATTAGTTTTCCATCTATAGACACTGCTCTTCTTATCGATCTTGCACCTCTGTTATATTGCTGTTGTAGCAATCAGAGGCAGTTACAGTCAAGAAACACTTTTCTGCATAACTCTGGTTTTGGCGGAGAGGGTCACGGCTGTGTGTAAGCTTTATCAGTCATATAATCTAAGCGTGAGGCAGTAGTGAAAATCTTAGCTGGCAAACATCACAAAGGGCCAGGTCTAGAAAGCTCTCTATAACTTAGTGCTGAAATACACAACAGTGGTCGCTGAAAGAGAAGCAAAAGTGTGTTGGCTTACAGGCTGTGATCGCTGCGCCTAGCTGGTCCAGATATGGTGAGTCTCATCACATACACTGTTGTTTTACTTTAAAAAGTTGAGTTGAGTTGAGTCAAGAATTCACATCACAACACTCGGGGCATTCCCATACGCGATCCGTTCCCATCCTCAGCAGCAAGCGCAAAGTTCCAATACTAATGGTGCCAGTCGTAGTCTGGTTGTATGTCCTTATTGCCTTTCCTCTGAGCGCAGTGTGCCAGCCGACTCCTCTGGTCACACCCAGGTGCATCATTTGCTCCAGCCCATAATAATCTAGTTTCTGTTCTGGCTTCGTTACTTGTTCCCACAGGGCTCTGGCCATCTGCCATGTCATGTATTAATTCACCATCCAGCGGTGCAGATCCGGCCAAGTTTTACTTTAAAAAGATAATTAACACTAATATCCCCATCTTTCTCCCCCAGGAAACAAAACACACAACTAGATTCCTGTGTTTTATTGAAGCATAGTTACTATTCCTGATAAATAAAACGTGTGACCTATAATCATTTCTAAACACATGAGCAAGAAGGTGTCAGTTTCAGATCCAATGTGCCTAATGTTTCTATCGTTTTACTGGTTAATGTGCTTTCTTATCCAAATGGTTTTCATGAATGTATGGTCAATAATAATAATTTGTTTATAATTTATACATATCAACAACCCTGGCTTATTCTGGAAAGTTCAACAACATTTCCTAAAAAAATGGAAGTAAATAAATTTATTATTAACTTCTTATTGTTTTTCAAGAATCAGCGTATCTTAATGTGAATAAACAAATGTGTTTTTGAGATTGCATTTTAAAGCATTGCATCAGCTGGGTCATTGATCAACAATGTTCTTGACTGCATCTGGATATAACGCTACATAAAATAAAACTAAAAAGTAAGCATTATGATGTATGCTGACTGGCATTTATTTTATATTTTGGTCTATCTAACTTCCTCAGAACAACAGGATAGTATCCATGGTATATACCACTTCCAAATGTCTACACAACATTGGCCTAAATTACGGCTGTTCTCTCTAATGTTTTTCTGAATAATCATCAACTATCATTGCCCTCTGAAGGTCGTGGATTTGTTTTTCCGCTGCACCGTTCAGTTTGTGATTAAAGTTTTTATGGAGATCTTTAGGGATCGTTGCCGCAGCCCTGGACTTTGTACTTCATGTGATGCTCTCTGCGGAGAGAGACCGAGCTGTGTGACATAAAACCCTGCGCAATAAAGTCGATTCCCTGACTTTAACCTTAACCTTTAACTGACTGATAATTTTTCCCATTCTGAGCTGCAGTCTGAAAGTCTGATACAACAGCAAACAATTGGTAATTCAGCATGAACAAATCTTAGATTCCCTGTTCAATACTGAAAAAAATGGTTATAATTAGGGTACCCTATGGCTACACAAAGCATTACCCACATGTTCAAGGTAGGTCAAAAGGTTATGCTATTGTTTTTTTTTTCAACCAACATAATGTGGGTACGTGAGTGTATGTGTGTGTGTGTGTGTGTGTGTGTGTGTGTGTGTGTGTGTGTGCGTGTGTGCATGTGTCCGTAGAAGCATTTAATGATTGTGAGGCTACAATATTTTGAAACTTCAAACTCGAGCTGATATCAAAAAGTAACTAGCCACAAAACAAAACTGTTTTTTCGTTCCTCGATTTTAAAAAAAAAACATGGTTGACATATTATGTTTTGCTGAGCACATCTGTTCTTTTTTCTCTATTGAGTTTTTGAATAATAGTTTTTGGGTGTATGTTTTTAATACTTCTCTGCAGATAACGTAATTATGCCCCATCATGGAAGAGTAAAGATGCTACGTACACAATTCAGATCATCACCAGTTTGAGTGTACATCAATAGAAAGCCTAGGGAAAATGGTTTGGTCAATCCAATACACAAAATACCATGTATGCATGCAGCGAAGACTCACAGAACATGCAAATTGTACAAATGAAATTCAAGCAGCACTGCGTCTTCACTGATATGTGGCAATCACATATGTGGCAATCACTTAATTTTATATTACTGTCCACAGATTACATATTCAATTCTCTTTGGAATGTTTGTTCTGCTTATTACTTTGCGCAGGGCTTTTGTTTCGAGGCAAAAGCTGCTTGCCCTCTTATTTTAAGACTGAATTTAAGTTTTATTATTGGAAATATCTTTGAAATTATATTAACGAAACCTCTGATGTAAACTGCGTAATTTATTTAAAAAGAAAACGTATTTTCTCAGAAAAATATGCAATTTGATTATTCAATAATGTTGGGGGAGTAAATATATAAAAATCTGGATTATCTGATAATAAAATACATGCATCATTACACATAAATACATCCTAAGTTATCAGTCTAGTTTGTTTACGGTAATTAGAAAAACAAATGGGGGAAGAAGCGCTGTCAAAGTCCATAAAATTATAAATCTGTGAAATATGTTACAACCCACTGATATTTTCAAACACTTGTGTAAAGCAGAATAAATACAGAAAAAGAGTGGCTGGCCTGACTTTTATGCACAAAATGCCATATATCTGTGAATAAATATCATATTAAGTTTCAGTTAACAATTTCAACATTTGTCTGATTTGAAAAATTACCAGTTATAACTACACAAAATATGATATGAAATTTTGTTTTAAACCTTTGCAACTAAAAGCAACATCAAGGAAATACTTTTATGCTGCACAAACTCTAAAAAGTAGAAGTATGAGAGCAAAAGGGACAGCACCAAATTTATTGTATTTAGTGACTGACTGACTTTCTACCCCACCAGGCATCACACAAGCGATAAACACACGATGACACAATGTACCACCATGTGGGTGAGGATCACCGTGGAGAGGTCCCAGAAACCGCGTTCAGACAATTGGCCATATTTATGACCTGCCTATATTGCGGTCCCTGGCTAAAGCCAGAGTAGGGCTTCAAATAACGAAAGATTTTATCCTGAATAGGACGGGAATTATCAATAATTATTGTATTTAGTGCTGCTTATCTGCCCTAAACTGACAAGAGAACTAATCAACTAGCACAGTGTACACATTTTGTTTAAAACACTGAGCAAAAAAATGAGAACTAAAATATAAAAACGTTTGTAGGGAAAAAATACATTACTTATCACACTGTTTCTTTGAACTTCACATACAATTATTAGAACAATATTAATACCATTTAAGTAACACTTAATGAGTTTCACATATGAGATGCTAACATGTGATCTTCAGTATGTCTTAATGTCATACAGACTGGTTACTTGATCCCAGCATATCTTTACGTACATTTAAAAAAAAAGGGCTTTGATACTCTATATAACTTAACAGTATATAAAGAAAATCCCCCCCCACCCCCCCCCCCCATATCTATATGAATATAAACAGGACTACTGATCCTCATTATGTTTTAACAGCACATACAAAGGATTTTGAAAACTAATAAAACTTAATGGCACATAAACAGCACATAGGAATAGACCCACTGCCTCCCAAGTATTTTTCCAAAGCTTATAAATATGACTTTTATCCCCAATATGTCCTGATAGCAAATAAACAGGATGCTTGATATATATTCTAATGGAACGTAAACATAGTTATTTGGCTTACACATTGTGTTGGAAATGTAAATATGTGTTAGACATGAAGTTTGAGCTTCTTTTAGTCCTTGTTAATATCTTTACAGATCAGCACAGGAACTCGAGCATGGTGCATGACGTAGTCACTGACACTGCCCATCAGGGTTCTCCGTATGGTGCTCATGCCTCTAGAGCCTATCACAATCAAAGTGACTTTGTCCTCAATGGCTATTTTGCAAACTACTTCTCCTGGGTTTCCTCCGACACTTTTCACTTTGCCTCCAATCTGTGAACAAGTGAATGAATTCTCAAAGAGATTAACAGCATGTGTGATAAACTGTTTATTTGGCACAGAGGTAAGAGCGGTATGTGACATCGAGCAAGGCTTATCTGTGACCTAAACTACTATAGACAGAAAACAACACCAGACTGTAACAACAATAGCAAGCACACAATGAATAGCTTCACTACAAGTCCTGGAGGTACACTTGTAAGTCACATCACTAACTAAACGATAGCATGGGACAGTCAGCACTGAATTTTTGCAATCAAAACACAGAAGAGCTACAACGCTAAAGAGATAGTTTGTTGTTTGCAAGGATGTGGCCAAAGGGCAACCATTCCGTTATTCTAGGTGTGCAAGAGTAAGGTCCCATTTTCATACCTTGATTTAGATTGGGCTTTTGGTGCCAGACCCCATTTATTTTATAGAGCAGTCAGGACTCGCTTGATAATGTGGTTTACTTTTCATGCCACATTTGCTTCCTACAACAGTTCCTGGTACATATGTTTAGGCTTGATTAGCCTAGGGAAAATATGCTTCTATGGGAACTCGAACTTTTAACCCCAAAACGAACAAGGAAACGTGCCAGCGGCTGTGACATTACCGTTTCCCACATGAGAGTATATATTTTAAATGCATGAAACAAGCATGTCATGAATATCGACTAATTAGGGGTTTCATTCGAAGTCGGAGTGCATCTGCCTGAGAGGCAAGGAACCAACAGTCTGCACAGGGGAGGTAACTCGAGTTCTGGAACAAGACAAAGGTTCAGAATTGTTAGACGAACAACCAAAACTTTCCGCTAGAGTTTACAGCCAGTCAATGCGAAAGGGAAGAAGAAGAAGAAGAAGAAGAAGAAGAAGAAGAAGAAGAAGAAGAAGAAGAAGAAGAAGAAGAAGAAGAAGAAGAAGAAGAAGAAGAAGAAGAAGAGAAGAAGAAGAAGAAGAAGAAGAAGAAGAAGAAGAAGAAGAAGAAGAAGAAGAAGAAGAAGAAGAAGAAGAAGAAGAAGAAGAAGAAGAAGAAGAAGAAGAAGAAGAAGAAGAAGGAGAAGAAGAGCACAAAGTCCTAATAACGTCAACAATAATTACAATAAAAACTTTAAAACAAAACAAACAACAAACAAACAAATAACATTTCAAAATGGAACATATTCCAGAACATTTTATTTACCCCTGCTGCTTTGAGTTTGTTAGCAAGGCGCTCTAGAAACTTTTTGATTCTCGTTTCCTCGTCTTTGAGAAGATCATTGACAGCACTAACATCAGTCATCACCATAGCTATTGGGACAAGCAGTAGACTATTATCACAACAGTCTCTCCGCAATGTAAAGCGATAGTTTTTAGGTTACTGTTTCAATATCCAGCTGTTACAATAACACATTAACATACCCTTAATATTTTTTTCACTTTCTTCTCAGTTTTCATTTGACTAAAAACTCTGGCAGGAAGTTCTGGTTGTTTGTCCTCTTTGGTCCTGTTCCATAAATTGAGTTTCGCATGCACATTGGTTTAACAGATCTGGTTTATTTGTGTGCAGACTGTTGGTTCTTTGCCTCTCAGGCAGATGCAGTCCGATTTCCTAGGAAACACCCTAGTCGACAGTTCTGCAGGTGGTTGGGGGGGGGGGGGTAGTGTGTGTTTAATCTTTTTGTTTCGTCTGTAAATGCGGCCCCAGCACTCACACCGGGAAATGTTCTTCAGAAACTACATAATTTATAGAACAACGACAAACATTAATTTTTTTTTGTGTCAAATGAATCTACAGCAAGAAACTTCCATCAGTAAGATTACCTTCCTGTACCTGTACAGTTAAAACTATCACAAATACCATAGAGCAATAGTCCTCATTTCTTTGCCGTATTACAAGAAAAGAAACAAACTGCTATTGCTGCCTGTTTTTAGCCCTTTTGTGACGTAGACATGGGAGTCTTTCAGCCTGAGGATTTAGCGCTGCATGGCCAAATCTGTCGCAGTGAACTATGAAGGTTGGGATTTTTTTTTTTTTTTTGGGCCCCCGAAAGAAAACAATCCACAACCTTACCAAGGATTCAGACCTGTTTTTTTTAATAATTTTTTTTAATGTTATCTTATCTTATCACATCGACATCACTGTACATTGGGCATTCCCATGCGTGCTCAGTCTTCCGATGCAGCAGCCACTCCGATGTACTTCTACTAATTGTTACCATGATAGGTTGGTAATAATGTCTTCAATTTCAGCCTCAAAGGCGGCACATGCGTGCTTCCCTATGCTTTACTCCAATCGTGTTAGTGTAAGAGATTCATAATTATCCACAAGACCAGTCCGCACAGCGTTGACGATATCTGCTCTGTCCATGCTTCTTCCCATATGCGTTAGTGCATTGCTTGACAGTTGGTCCAATCGCTCATTACCCTTAACACCTACATAACCAGGTGTGTAGATCTAGTTGAGGAAGGTTAAGTGCAAGTTTTGAATGCTTTCTACTAGGGCTGTACCGAATAGGGATTTTCACTATTCAGCCGAATACGAATAGCCGGACCAACTATTCGGCCGAATACGAATACGAATAGTGTATTATAATCATCAGGTGCCTTGCCGACTAGCGTGGGCCTTGCCACAATCTGCGATCTCCTGCAGTATGTATTAGTTCGTGTGCTGACACACCTTCATGCAATGCAACAAGACTGGTCAAAATTCTTCTCTCATTATCTTCCTCTATCACTCCTTCCACAGATTTTTCCAGTGGTCACCACATGTTCCGTTTTCCCTCTTCTCATAACATGGCCGAAAAATAATGACTGTCTCCTTCTGATGTCTGTGATTAGTTGTCTTCGGGCTCCCGCCTCTTTCAAAACCTCTTGGATTTTGTGTGTGTGTGTGTGGGGGGGGGGCTGTCCAATGTATTCTAAGCATTGTTCTGTAAAATCACATCTATAAGACCTCAATAAATTGTTTGGCCTGCATACCGATTGTCCAGAACTCACAGCCATGTTAAAACTGGATGATGTACCATGCAACCGGGTCGCAGTTGCCCCCGCTTAGGCAACAGCAACTACTATGTTAACGAGAGAGTTATTTCAGTCTATCGCAGTGTGTGCAGAAACGGGTGTAAGGTAACCACTATTCGTATTCGGCCCGACCACAAGTATTCCGTGGAATACCGAATAGTTATTAGGTCCACTATTCGGCCCCGAAGCGAATGCGAAGCGAATATTCGATACAGCCCTACTTTCTACCCATTCAGATCGCATACCGCTTGTTGCTATCTTCTGAAGCATGTTCACGTAGCCTCCTGCATGAGAGCCTAGTATGTTCCTTAACAAGAGAAGAATTATTGTAACATGTGACCACTGCAAATATTTATCGCAAGGGTGGTGTAGGACCAAAATGAGATTCTTGAAAGCTTTTTCGTGGTCCACACGACCTGATACATGCGCTGCTAGAGATCAGAAATTGTGAAAAAGCCTTACTGCCCAAGCCAGTGGCAACGGCATTCGGTGCTTTGCTAAAAACAAAATCGTCACGTCCAACCAGCGTCCCTGAATGGGAAGCTTTAGGTTATTTCTTCTGCGTTCGACATCAGTCGTGCTAAACATTGAGTCCCGTCTGGGTCACAAATAGGATTGTGCGTTTAAGATCGCCACCGGTCACCCATAGCTTTTCTTGCAAAGTGGCTCCCTTGGGCCAGATCCACAGTCTTTGCTGGGAGAGGTTAGGACAGTACTGTAGTATTTGTTCAGGGGTTTGTCTTTCTGCTCCACAATCACAGGCAGCAGATTCTTTTATGCCTATCCTGTACAAGTGTGCTCGAAGACCTCAGTGTCTAGTCCGAAGTCTAAAAATTGATGTTTGTTCTTTCCTGTTGAGTTTGTTTAAGCTGTCACTCTCTGGTTTGTAATCTCCTTTCTCCACTCCCGCTTGAAAGACTGCTTTAGCGCTGTTTTGGTTTCCTTGTAGCTGTGTGGGGGAGGAGGTTGTGGAAGATTACTCCCAGCTTTTGCCAACTCATCTGCTCTCTCATTTCCTTGAATACCACAGTGAGCTGGTATCCACTGCAAGACCAGTTCTGCTTCCTTGGAGAGTAAGCCAATGTTGGTCCTTAGATCAGCAATTAGTTTGTCTTGTTTTTTGCTGAATAGTGCTTGGAGAACAGACAATGAGTCACTAAGGTTATGTGCACTATATAAAATCTTAGCATTGTACACAACAACGAGCCCTGATAACGACTCCTATAGTGTTGATGCTATCATAGGAGACATATCCCAAATACTGTCCATACCGGCGACGAAGTCGTCCACTGGCGAGCCAATTGGTGACCTGGTCGCCAGTGGAGAAAGACACTTGGTGGTGGTGATAATTACTATTGAAACAACATCCTAACATTAGTAGTAACGCCTCCAGACTTCAGCAGCAACATCCTGTTTCATTTACAGTATAGTTTATCCTTTGGCTAGTATGGCACGGGTCCATATTTATTAGGCCTTTTAAAAAGATCACGACTTCATTGACTGCTCAGTTGGGGTGTCAACATAGGGTTTCCTTTTGGGTAAATAACTAGCCAGATATTACCGGTTGGTTGTGATGAATGTCTTTTTAATCTGGTGAAGAATCAATGACAAATCAAATGAGGTTTTCAGACACTTTTTGGTCTGGTACCTGGTGCACTTATATACCAACTGACACCGTTATTAGGACATCCAAACATAGGTTTGGGTGCCGAGAAACAGATTATAAACAGTATATTCATACCAACACTGTGCTACCAGTGCCAGACTTGGACATTATCAAAGGCTAACTCAAAATTACCACCTGTGAAATGAGATGCCTGAAAAAAAAGCCGCCAGCTTAAACATCCAAAACAAAGTTAGAAGTTATATTACTGTAGGATCAACACAATGCAGCAAATGCATTGAGAAACAGAAGGTCAAATAGTTTGACCATTTAGTAAGAAAGTGAAAGCAAGAAGCCGCCCTAGGAGAACATGGATTGATAACATTAAAGAGCTTCTACATTGACACGAAATGACATTAGCCATTGCTGCCCATCGCAAACTGTTTCTCCCCAACACCTAACGGCAGAAGTGGAAACTGGTGATGGTGATGATGATGATGATGATGATGATGATGGTGATGTTGTTGTTGATGATGATGATGATGATGATGATGATGATGATGATGATGATGATGATGATGATTACGACGACAACGACCTGGTAATTACACTTCAGGTTGCCAAAGCTTTGTCTAATGTACATATAACAATCCCACATATGTTGAAGTCTGATTGTAACGATGTGTCTTAGATTCTGCTTAAGTTTTGCATCCCATACTTGTAACAGAGGAATAAAAGCATAAGTGAGAAGTATGAAAGCAATAATACTGAAAGATGCAGATGTTCAGTGATTTCAAACTGAAAGACTAACTGTCAGGACTGTTAAAATGACAATTTAAAAAAAAAGTATAGGACCCTTTTCCACGCCTTTAGGCTTATAGGACATATAGGGCTAGACCTATGTTTTATAGACCAATCAGCACAAGAGGGGTGATGTGGTTAGCATCACGCCGGCCACTTTTACTTCCCGGGACTGCACCAGGTACCCACTCAAGGCTGGGTCGAAAAGGGACCAAAAAAAGTAAAAGTAATTACCAACAGTAGCATTCTCACAGATAAGCAAACTTTGTTGACACTTGACTCATGATCTTTAGCCAGTGGCATCACCAGAGTGAAGACACTGGAGGGCACTCAAAAACCCCAATTCCCCCCCAATCCCTTAACCCAATCAGTATTTGTCTAGGCTCATGGGGAGGGGTTCAAGCCCTGTTAAACGGTGCAATATTAATAATAATAATACTGTTCCCCCAATCTTGGATAAAAGTATTAACCCTCAGAATACATTCTATCTTCCACAAGAATGCACGTAATGCAATTTAATTTTTTTTTTTTAAATCAATAAGTGTCGAGAATAGACACAGTATGACAAATAAATGTGAACAGAGCTCTTCAGCGACCTAACAACATTCATACGAGAGTCACTTACGTGACTGAATGACTGTGTGATATTCGGGCACATACAGCAGGATGGTCATGTCCCTAGGCTTGCGCACATACTTCAGGTAAACTGAAACAAAGAGTGGCCATCAGGATTAGGTAACTGTATTAGGAAATGAATACTTACAACTGCTTCTATTCATGATAGGGTTAATTTCTTTTTTTTTTTTTTTTTTTTCAAAAGTTTTAAATTGAAAATATTGATATTAAAACTATGTGAACTGTTAGACTTTCATCCATACCAGACCATGACATAATAGGTCATGACCAACAACAAACAGTTATCTTTCTCATAATATTTTCTTCGCAAAGAATTCACAGAAAACTTTTTAAATTAACTAGGACCTATTTTGTATGTGGTTGTACTCGCGCTCTCTCTTTTCTCCAGGCTATGCCGGCTTGTCGGGAAATGAACAGGCAGACAGACTGGCTGGATCTGCACCACTGGGTGGTGAATCGATACATGACAAGGCAGATGTGGTGAGATTGGGGCATCTGGGTGTAACAAGAGGGTCTGGCTGGCTCACTACACTCAGAGGAAAGGCAAGATGGACACATGAGCAGACTGAGACCGGTACCAGTATTGGAACTGTGCGCTAGCTGCTGAAGATGAGGACGGAGCATACTTGGGAATGCCCCGAGTGCTGTGATGTCAATTCTTAACTCAACTCAACTCCTTCGCGTTCCATGCCAGTAACGTATTTCTTCTTCTTCTTTTTCTTATAGCCCATGCCATGTGGCTTTATTAGTCGTGTCTATCCACAATGCTCTGTCTCGTGTACTTTCTAACATAGATGATCTTTCCTACCACGATGTCAAACTGCCTGGCATCTTCTCTCTCGTCCTCCCTCTGCCTCTTTTCCCTAATAAGTTTCTCATCATCATGATATACTTCAGATTGCTTCTTATCCTGACTTGATCAAAGAATGTAGATTGTCTCCTCATGTGGACAATCAGTTCTCTTCATGAGTCAGTTTCTTTCAAGACACCTTCACTAAGCTTTGTATCTGTCCAGGGTATTCTCATCATTCGTCTCTAAACCACATCTTCAGCACTTCCCAAATAATATTTAACTAACGGTCCAACTAGTACTACTAACTGGGAAAAATCCGGCCACATCTAGAGACTGTAACTGGGACACTGCCGGGCTCGCATAATTTTGATTATAACCCTCAAATGGTGGGGAAAGGACGGGTGGAAACGTAAGATAAACATGACCACAGTGATGTATATTATCATATTAAGATGCCATTATGAAAAAGATATGCTTTGTGATCTCTTTGTGACTTACTAAACACGCAAGGTGGAGTTACACTTAAGCTTAAAAGCCATTTAATAGTTTAAAAATATATATCAAATAAACTAATCACAGCTCTACAATTTTTCACGTTTAATTTCTCATAAGAGGCAATAGGGAGTCAGGTTGAAATGTCTGGCTAAAGGATCTCTGGTAAAACTGATTCTGAACATGAAAACGTACGCACTGGATAGTAACTGGGGGGGGGGGGTGGGGGGAAGGGGGGGGGGGTTACATTAGAGCCCACAGCTTTAAACATTCTTGTCGCTGTCTGGTGAAAAAATGATTGTGCAGATAGCCTGGTTAGGTTATAATAACTATAGTCTGGGTTTAGCAATGTTCACATCCTGGTTGCACAAATTATAAAGCGTGGTCCCTAGGAAATTGAATACTGAGTGCAAAGATCTGAGAATGATACAATCACTAGTCGTCCCCATGGGGGGTGCAACTTTTTGTTATTTGAAGCCCCACGCTGGCTTTTGCCGGGGACCATGAATATAACCGGGCAATAAATCTGGCCTAACGGCTGAAAGGGGTTTCTAGGACCTCTTCGCGGGTGATCCTCATCCGCATGGTGGCACTTTGTGTCATCGGGTGATTATCGCTTGTGTGACGTCCTGGTGGGGTACCAAATAGAGAGAGAGAGAGAGAGAGAGAGAGAGAGAGAGAGAGAGAGAGAGAGAGAGAGAGAAAGAGAGAGAATGATACAAAATATTAAACAATAACTGGCATAAAAATTCAGGTATAAGAACTGAGAACCAAATGTAAACGATTTAAAACATGATTACAGTATTAGAGATGGTTGTTTACAAACCCGATAAATTCAACGTTAATCAATGAAATAATAAGACCCATACATGATATGCAAGCTAGTGGTATAATGTACACAACTTATAATACACCTTTCATAGATAAAATAAAAAGCATTTACGTGGAATGAATTATACATAGATCCTTTTTTAAACAGATGTCACAGTAATTACAAAACAATGTCTTCCAGAATGCAAAAATGACAAAGCAGGTATTTTAGGTACTTTGATAACAACAGATGGAAGATCCATTAAATAAATTAATGTAATATAACACTATAGAAAAAAGTATTTTACAGGATAAGGAATATTCCAAGAAATTTATCTTTGTTTACTATAAGGAGAAAGAGTTTTAACGAGTGTAGCATTGCTACCCTACAAAGTTGCTATATTGGCGCCAAACGTAATTGGGAAACATACAAAATGTGTACAGCTTGTTCATTATAAAACCTTGTTACTGTTTCATTATAATTGTGAGGAATATTTTGGCTATTGAGACACAAGGCAGCTGCCGTGGTGTAGCAGCTAGACGCTCGCCTGTGGATCTGACGGTCGTGGATTCAGATCCTGTCCAAGGTGGACTTTTTTTTTTTTAAAGATCTTGGCCTGCAGGTCGACCCAGCTTTAATGGGCTACCAGATAAAGTCCTGAGAAGTAAAGGCTGCCGGCGTGATACTGACCACATCACCCATCGAGTGCTGACTGGTCTATAAAATATAGGTCTAGCCCTATATGCCTAAAGGCGTATAAAATTAGCTAGTATGACATAAGTTAAAGCCGAGATGCAGTAACTATTTTTTTTTAACATCCGTCAGTATCATGTTTTTGTGTCATTAAGAACGTTTGTGACCTGTGAATGAATACCATAATTCAGAATATTTCCTGACGTATATCAAAAATATATTTACATAAGTAGAAAGAATTGTGGCTTAAGATTTCACCGTGTATTCAAAACCATTACCTGGTACTAATTTACCCAATTATACTGTTCAAAAGTTTGTATTTTCTAACTGTTCAAAGGCATAGTAAAAGAACGAAATCTTTTCATTTCTGATGCTGCACTCCTCCCAAGTTGTCAAGTTTATCACATTAACAGCTTAGCTTTCTATTGAAGTCATTTTGTTGCGATGAATTTGCCGTGTATGTATGTATGTAACAGACATGAAACTTGACTGAACATCAGTGCACTGATAGTAGAGGCCGTACAAAGGACAGGTTGTATTTCTATCGGTATATCTTTGTGAAACGCTAGCACTGGTTGCTAAAGTCGTCCATCGCGATCACGTGTTTGTCGGGACGCACTGTTTATTTGATCAGGCTTTCAGCGTCTGTCAACCAAGCACACAAACATACGCTAATAGAAGCATGACATCTATATCTTTAACAGGAATTTATTTCAGCGAGGCTGACTTGACAAGCACTGACATGACTAGCAGACTAGCTAGAGCAACAACGTTGACACATCACAGTTCAGGCTACACATCAGAGGAGCATTATTGTTCTCTTTAATGCTTATCATCATGTAGCTGACAAATTGTGTAGTTTCCTGTCTTTCAACAGATCTCATGTTCTATATATATCGTCGCTATCCCTTCATGCCACACAATAAACTACTAAGCACCATTTCTCTGTCCTCCTCTGTCTCTTCTACCGTAAATAAGCT